CCGAATGTGGAGATCTCATTTTACAAGAGCCAACTGAGACCTGAGACATGATGTCGCTTGCCCCGGACACACAAGTGAGGAGAGCACATAGGGTGCAATTTAGCTCAGACTCCAAAGCCCTGGTGGAATTGACACGGCGCTGCATAAGCTGCTTCCCCTCTGTGCGGCCGTGGCTCTGCCACTCAGAGTCCTCCTGCACCCCTGCTGCGTGTACCTGCCGAGTTGACACCTCAGGGCCACGTCCATCCAGATGCTTCCCACCCTCGCCACCTCTATCTCTTGACCCCGTAGTGGTTCCTCAAGTCCCCTCCACCCCGAGGCCACGGAGATCTCTGTGATCCGTGAATCTGACCACTACACTGACTGCTCCAGCTTGCGGTAGTTTTTCCCATGGCTCTCAGCATGGAGACCCTCCCCTCACCACAGTGTTGGGCTCCACCTGGCCGTCTCTGCTCATCTTGGGGTCCTCTGACACGCTCTCTGACAGTCACCTGAGCTCTTTTCATCTTCCAGCTCTTTCTGCCAGACTTCCGCCCACTGGGCTTGGCATTCAATGTCCTCTCTGCCTGGGACATATTCCCCCCACGCCTTTCTTTACCAAGTTAAGGGCTCCACATCCTACAGTTACTAGCTCAAAAGGTTCTTCCTCCAGGAAGCCCTCCTGGAGCTAGGTGATCTGTTCTTACCATCATCTCCAAGAATGGAACGCCTCTCTTTCAGAGCAGGTGTTTGTTTAGGTGTTTGCCTGCATTTGTGGGGTAGATGTGCTTCTTCTCAATACACCCGTGAGCTAGCCTCTTCCTGGCTTGTGGACAGCCACCTTCTGCCTGTGTCATCGTGTGGTGGCGAGAGAGCTCGGTGTCCCTTCCTTCTCTGTTAAGGCACTGTCCCATCCCAGGGGCTCTGCCCTTGTGACCGCATCTAAACCTCATCACCATCCAAGGCCCTGCCTCCTAATACCAAAACACTGAGGGGATAGGGCGTCAACAAATAGATTTAGGGAGACACAAACATTCAAGCCATGTAGAGAGCTCCTATGTACCCTGCAAAGCTCTACTCTACTGCTACCTCTTAGATGGACCCTGGGCTGAGCTAGTTGCGCTCACCAATTGTTTTGCACCTTGCACTCCTTTTCACTATCCCATTTAGCTTTTTATTTTTATTTATTTATTTATTTACTTATTTTTGAATTGGAGTCTCACTCTGTCACCCAGACTGGAGTGCAGTGGCCTCTCCCGGCCACCGCAGCCTCGACCTGCTGGGCTCCGGCGATCCTTCCGCCTCAGCCTTCCAAGTAGCTGGAAGGTGTGCACTACCACGCATGAGTCGAGACAGAATCTCACTATATTGTCCAGGCTATTCTCAAACTCCTGGCCCCAAGCAATCCTCCCGCCTCAGCCTAATTAAGGTTTTATTTGAAGTTGTTAACTTTTTATGAGTACCTCTTGCAGCCTCCGAAATCAACTTACGTATATGCAGAATCAGCCGACTGTCTGCAAAGCTATTGCGTTCAGAGCCCAGTCCTCCCTCGCCGCCCCTGCCAGCCCTGTCCATGGCCAGGTGCTCCCTGCTACAGGCCAGCCCACTCCTCTGCCTCCTCTCCCTCCTGCTCCTCCTGCTGGCCGCCAGCCATCCTCCGATGCACTGAGGAGGTCATGGCCAGCCCCTTGACCTCCAGTTGCTCTCCACGCTTCCTGGATCTAGTCTACACTACCCAGAGCAGAATTTAAGGCCCACCCATGTGACCCTGGGGTCCTGGCTTGCCTGCTCTGAGACGTCCTCACACCCTACCCTGCTCCGTCCTGTGCTCCAGCCCTCTGTCCCTGTGCCCTCCCTTTCTATTTCATATCATCCCTGTTAGGGTACAGAGGGTGGGGGTGGATGGATGGGGAGACACAGTACCACCGGAGCCGGCGTGCCGGAGGTGTGCCCTGGCAACCAGAGATCCGAGTCATGCAAAGACTTGCAACACACAAAGAGGTGAAAGAAGAAAAGATTTATTTAAGAAAGGTTCGCTTCCCACAGACAGGAAGCGGCCTACACTCTAGATGGGTGTGGCCCCACAGCCCCTCGAGCAGGCTTTAATCCTTTCCCTTGGAAGTGTTGCAATCAGATAGACATGACTGCTGTGACTTCCTTGTTGACCACCTGTGAATGTCTTGGAGACCCTGAGGGGAGTCCTGGTCACCATGTACCGAATATACAACGGGTTGATACTGGTCATGCTTGAGAATTCTGGGTTTCTAAAAAAGACAAATTACAACAGGCCGGTACTGATCATGCTTGAGTCTGTGTTTCTGAAAAGACAAAGTCGGCAAAGTTCATCTTGACCCCTGTGCATTTCTCCAAAGCTTAGCTTCTACTTTCTCATCATTGTATTAAGGTTTAGGAACAAAATAAAAAATGGATTTCTCCAGGACATAGCTTCTACTTCTTCCTCATCGTGTCGGGGTTTAAGAACAAGATAAAAAATGACTCCCCGCTCTTGGTCTGTCCTTTGAATCTCCGCCTCGATGATAACGCCTGCCTTGCCTTCCTGGGAGTGGGAGACGCTTTACGAGTCTGTCTCTGAATTCTTTCTCCTTTCTCTCCACCCACGCCCTTCCATTACATCTTGTTTTATTTTATTTTATTGAGTCATGGGGTGCATGTGAGGATTTACTACCTAAGAAAATTGCACGCAGGTGCGATTTGGGCTTCTAGCCAGCCCTCTCTCCCCTTGGTAGTGGACCTGGCACCCTGGCGGGTGGTTGTGTGCTCCTTGCCCCCCCATCAGTGCCCAGCCTCATTGTCCCCACCTTTGTGCTCACATGGCCAATGTTTAGGGATTGCTTGTGAGTGATATTGTATGGTATTCAGTTTTTTGCTTCTGTGACAGTTCACTTCGTAGAATGGTCTCTGGCTGCATTCACGTTGCTGCAGAGGCCATGATTTTGTTCCTCTTTATGGCTGCATACTGTTCCATCATATATATGTACCACATTTTCTTTATCCTGTTCACTGCTGATGGGTATCTGTGTTGGTTACATGCTTTTGCTATTGTGAATAGTGCTGCAATGAACATACGTGTGCAGGTGTCTTTTTGGGGAGCAATTTATGTTCCTTTGGTTATATTCCCAGGAGAAGGATTGCTGAGTCATATGGAAGCTCTCAACTTTTAGTTCTTTGAGAAATTGCTACACTGTTTTCCAAAAGGCTGAACTAGCTTACATTCCCACCAACAATGTAGAAGTGTTCCCTTTCCTCCACAGCCTTGTCAGCACCTGCTGTCTTTTGACTTTTTTTTTTTTTTTAACCAAAAGTGAGAAAGCAAGATTTATTGAGAGAACAGAAAAGCTCCCACAGTGGGAGCTGCCCGTTTTTTGACTTTTTAAGGATAGCCGCCCTGACCGGCTTGAGGTGGTATCTCATTGTAGTTTTGATTTGCATTTCTCTGATGATTAGTGGAACTGAGCATTTTTTCATGTCTGTTGGCTACTTGAATGTATTCCTTTGAGAAGTGTCCATTCATGTCCTTTGCCCACTTTTTAATAGAATTTTTTTTTCCCTGTCAATCCGTTTGAGTAGATCTGGATGTGAGGCCTGTGTTGGATGTTTCTGCTATGTCTTGGTGCGAGGCCTCCTCTCTGCACCTGGTTGCAGGTGTCTCTACGTCATGCATTTTCTTTTTAAATGTTTTACCATTACATTTTGTATGCGAGTCCCCGCCAGGTGAGAAACAGCCCAGAAGGAAGAGGGCCCATCTGTGTTACAAGACTCCTGTATCAGAAGAGCTGACGGGTGACAGAGCAGGGAGACATACTGGCTCCACGGAGCACGGAGCACGGTGTGGTGGAGGGAGGGAGCCGAGGTCATAGGCTCCAGTGGCCTGTCGCTCTCAGGCAGGCGGACAGTAGATCTGTGGTGCTCAGAATTCATGGTGGAGGTGGCTAGGAAAAGTGTCTAAAAAAGCTCTTTGGCATTGGGACAGGGACAACAATAAAAAAAAGGTTGAGGCTGGGCACAAAGGCTCACCCAGCGTTTTGGGAGGCCCAGGTGTGAGGATCTCTTGAGGAGAGGAGTTTGAGTCCAGTCTGGGCAATATAGTGAGATTTCCATCTCAAAAAAAAAAAAGGAAATTTAAAAAATTAGTCCAAGGTGAGAGGACTGCCTGAGCTCAGGGGTTCAAGACCAGCCTGGGCAACTTGGTGAGACCTCGTCTCTACAATTAAAAAAAAAATTAGCTGGGCATGGTGGCGTGTGCCTGTAGTTCCAGCTACTTGGAAGGCTGAGGTGGAAGGATTGCCTGAACCCAGCAGGTGGAGGCTGCGGTGACCGTGAGCGTGCCACTGCACTCTAGCCTGGGCGACAGAGTGAGACTCCGACTCAAAAATTAATTAATTAAATAAATCAAAATAAAAAATTAGCCAGGCGCAGTGGTACCATCTACCTAAGAGGCTGAGGCAGAAGAATCACTTGAGCCCAGGAGTTCGAGGCTGCAGTGAGCTGTGATTACACCACTGTACTCCAGCCTGGGCAACACAATGAGACCCTGTCTCTAAAAGATAAAAATAAAAAAAGTTTAGAAACATGGCTCTACACTAGACAAGAGAAGACACTGGACTGTGAAGACACGATGCAGTAGACGTTTGTGCAGTGCCTCAAACAGCGCCAGGCACATGACAAAACCCAGTATATGTCCATGAGCTCATGCCATGTCCGGGTACTACAACAGGGTTTCTACACACACCATCTCGTTTCATCTCATGCCTGCTGCGTGAGGAAGGTGCCAGTGTCATTACGCAGGAAGACGGAGGCTCAGGGCAGGTTAACTGCCCAGGGTCCCACTTCTGGTCCTTGACAGAAGCAGGATTCCAACTCCGAGTGCCTTAATGCCCAGTTGTGGTGACTGAGCCCTTTCCTCACAGAGGGGTGACCTCCGTGGGGGCTGGGGCCAGATGGGGTGAGCAGGACATGTAGTCAGAGGCGATCTGGGCTGACAGGGTGTCCTGTGTGCACAGGGCCATGATGATGACTGCCTGTGACCTCTCTGCCATCACCAAGCCCTGGGAAGTGCAGAGCAAGGTACGGACACCCCCAACCCAAGGGAGGGGACCCCGCACTGGTGGAGCAGTTCTTGAGGCCGCAGAGCCACCCCCTTGGGTCGCCCCACCTCTGCCAAGACACGAGGCTCACATGAGGGTCTCTCCCATGGCGGCAGCGAGGTGGGGGGAGGTTTATCCTTTTTGCTGAGTTGGAGCCGCGGTCTGGGTGGAGGGCATGGGGTCAGGCTGGCTGTGATGGTGTGAGGGTCTGTCGCAGGTGGCGCTGCTGGTGGCTGCTGAATTCTGGGAACAAGGCGACCTGGAGCGCACGGTGCTGCAGCAGAACCCCATTGTGAGTAGAGAGGGTGTGGGCTGGCAAGGGCGTGCGTGCCATGCTTCTGACCGAGGGGTGTGTCACCTCTCCGTGGGGCAGGCCCCCTTCCCAAACAGCGGTTCCCCAAGTGTGGCCCCCCGGCCATGTCCACCTAGCTGCCGGAGAGCTCATTCGAGATGGACGTTCACAGGCCCCGCCCTGGAGCTACCCAGCTTGTGCTCTGTCCGGCAAGGCCTCCTGTATTTGAGAAGTGTGCCCTTAGCTCCTTGGCTCCAGGGCAGGGTGGGCCAAGACCGTAATCTCCCTTTCAGCGCCGATGCTCTGGGAGTCCATGGCCCGGCCCTGTTGTGATGGCACGGACGCAGAAAGAGGAGGGGGAAGGCCTTGTCAGCTGGGCACTCACTGGATTGAACTTGGCCGGGACAGCGGCCAGCTTCCCATGGGATTCCTGCAGACCCTGGGGGACGAGCTGGGATGCAGGGGGAGCTTGGAGAGGAGGAGGAAAAGAGAGCCATTCTGGGAACAAACACTGGGAGCGGGCAGGCCAAGCCTGTGGGATTGTGGGAAGGACCAGGGAGCCCCCAGGGCAGGCAGGAGCCAAGGGAGAGAGGAAGGCCAGAGGGCAGGACGGGTTGTGAACAGTAGCAGTAACACAGTAACAGTGAGGGCCCGGGAGCTGCAGTTCTTGCTCTTCTTAACATTTAAAATGCAGAAAGGGTGTGTGGTGGCTCATGCCTGTCATTCAGCACCTTGGGAGGCCAAGGTGGGAGGATTACTGAGCCCAGGAGTTTGCAACCAGCCTGGGCAACATAGTGAGGCCTTGTCTCTACAAAAAATTAAAATAAAAAAATTAGCTGGGCATGGTGGCACGCGCCTGTAGTCTCAGCACTTTGGGAGGACTGAGGCAGGAGGATCGCTTGAGGCCAAGAGTTCAAGACCGGCCTGGGCAACATAGTGAGTGTCTCCAATAAACTAAAAATTAGCCAAGCATGATAGCATGCACCTGTAGTCCCAGCTACCTGGGCGGCTGAGGTGGGTCAAGGATCTCTTGAGTGCAGGAGTTTGAGGCTGCAGTGAGCTATGATTGCACCACTACACTCCAGCCTGGGTGACAGAGTAAGACCCTGTCTTAAAAAAAAAATCAAGTGGGTGGCCCCGCCTGCCGCCCAGTGCTCTTAACACCTTCTCCCCCATGCCAGCCTATGATGGACAGACACAAGGCGGACGAGCTCCCCAAGCTTCAAGTCGGCTTCATCGACTTTGTTTGCACCTTCGTGTACAAGGTAGGCCCTTGGCTTCCTCAGCCCAATGCGATGTGGGATTTCCAAATGACGGCAGGGATGCTGTACCCTGGCGGATGACCAGTGGGGGACGCTTTGCAGAGTGCTTGCCCCTTCAGTGGCATTGTAGCGGGAAGATAGAGAGGTCGTGACACCAAGACTATTATAGGAAGTGGTACTTTATTATGCTGGCCGGCCCAGCAGGCTCTAGGGGCTAATGCTTTCAGGTCGAGCCCCCCAGAACGGGAGAAATGGGGTCTTATACCCTTGTTTAGGGAAGGGAGGGGGTCATGTTGAGTGATTACATATTTCCTTTGGAATCTTACATGGTTGTGCTCAGCAAAATCAGATTTTTCAAAGAACAAATGGTTTTCAGGAACTGCAGGGTTGTACACCGTCAGCTTCAGAAGAGGGGTTTTGGATAAGTCTGAATTAGTTACTCTTTTGCATTTCCATGAAATGGCCAATCTCTGGCCATTTGGCCTTTCTTAAACAAAAAGGAAATACCTTCAACTGCTACCAACCCCCCTTTCTGCCACATCAGCATTTGATCCTCAGGTCTTGGGAGGCTGCAGCCCCAGAGAGCCTGGTGTTCAGCGAGCCGGCTGCTTAGCACCGTGGTGGGCAAGGACTAGGTGGAGCTTAGATGGGGGCAGGGAAAATATGACGGGCACCGCGCCCTCCTGACTTCCCTCACCGCTGAGACAGGCCAGGCCAAAGTCACCCTGGAAAGAAAGACCATCTGGAACTTCTCTTTACCACATTGTTCTGTGTTAAATGCCCCTTTAGATGCCCTCTCCCCTCCATCTGTGCTTCCTATAGTACCACCCACATTTAATGTTTATTCTGGCCACGTTATACACAAGAAGATATGATAGACGGCAGGGTTGGTGTCTTGGACAGTCAGGAGGCAGGAGGGGAACTGGGACTCCTAGTCCAGTGCTCTTTTTGCAGTGCAAATTGCAGCCCTCTTGCTGGAAAGGAGCTGTGCAGATGTTTCAGGGGCACAAGCGTCTCTGACATAATGTGGACTCAAGGGGCCCCCGTTGATGGGGCCGGAGCACCTTCCATCAGGATGTGCTCAAGTGAGGGAGGGTGGGCCAAGCGCTCACAAGTGTCGGCGACCCTGCAGCTGGCACCATCCCTGTTTGGACCCCATAGCTGAGGGTCACCAGGCTGTGGCAGAGCCTGGACCCAGGCCCGGGTGCATCTGAGTGCTGTCGGCTGGGCTGCGACTCCGTGGTGGGCCCTGGGTCTGCTTTTCTGACCTCGGGCAAATCCACTCCGTCAGTCTGTGCTCCGATGTCCTTACTTAACAATGCAGGAGCGATGAAGCTTACTTCCCATCTTGCAGGAACGAGAGGGTTGGAGGAGAGAGACGGCTCCATAAACTGGGATGTGCTGTGCTCAGTGTCCGATTCGTATTCTTAGGGTTGTAAAAGGCCTCAAGATCACCTTCTCAGCATCTCAGTTTCACTAGCAAATATTTGCTGAGTATATCTGTGCCCAGATCCTGGGGTAGGTCAGGGCCACCTGGGGAGCAGGCACCAAGGACCCTGCACTCTCCAGGCTCTCAGCCCCTGGGGAGACAGGCACAGGGAGTCATTACAGGAAGCAAGATGAGGCAAGAGAGGGCTTTGGGGACTTCCAATTGGGGACTCAATTTACCTAGGGGGTCAGAAGGGGCTTCTAAGTAGGAAGTGACATATAAGAGAGGCCTCAAAGAAGAAGAGGAGTTGGATGCAGTGACTCATGCCTGTAATCCCAGCCCTTTGGGAGGCCAAGGCAAGAGGATTGCTTGAAGCCAGAAGTATGAGACCAGCCAGGGTAACATAGTGAGATCCCATCTCAACAAAGAGTTAAAAAAAAATTAGCCAGGTGTGGTGGCGCACACTTGTAGTCCCAGCTATTAGGGAGGCAGAGGCAGGAGGATTGCTCAAGCCCAGGAGTTGGAGGCTGTGGTGAGCTGTGATTGTGCCATTACACTCCAGCCTGGGTGACAGAGGGACCTAGACTCAAAAAAAAAAAAAAAAAAAAAAAAGAGGGGAAATTAGGATTGAACAGCTTGTGACAAGCCCGCGGAAGGCAGGATACACCCCAGGAACTGAGATTTGGGCTCCTGGGAGTTTTCGGATGGTGAAGGGCAGGAGAGCACTGGATCGGGGAGGGCTTGCACATCCATCCCAGGAGGCCGTCTGCAGGAGAGGCTCGGGGATTGCGTGGGCGGGGGCCCTGCCCGTGCCGAGAGACAGCATGAGGCCCGAGACACTTGAGACTATCCCCCCACCGCGCCCTTCGCCCCCAGGAGTTCTCCCGCTTCCACGCGGAGATCACACCCATGCTGGACGGGATCACCAACAACCGCAAGGAGTGGAAGGCACTGGCCGACGAGTACGAGGCCAAGGTGAAGGCGAAGGATGAGGAGAAGCAGAAGCAGCAGTCGGCCAAGCAAGGTGCGTGGAGGGACCCAGAGTCCTGGCCTCCCACGAGCCTCCCCGCATCCGGGTCACGCCTGGGTCTCATCCAGGCCTCCCCATGGCCAGTCTCATTCCTGTTCCGTGACAGCACCCAGATTGGCAGGGGCCTAGTGACACAGCGAGTGGCAGAACCAGCCTTCCAAGACCCCCCAGCAGGTGCCTCTGACCAACACAGCACAGGCTCTGATTCTTTTCTTTTCTTTTTTTATAGAGGTGGGATCTCACCACGTTGCCCAGGCTGGTCTCAAACTCCTGGCCTCAAGTAATCCTCTGTTTTGGCCTCCCAAAGTGTTGGGATCACACAGGCGTGAGCCACACCCAGCCCACAGACTGATTTGAAGGCTTTTTGTCCCCACTCTGGCGTAAAGGGGAAATCTTGGATGATTGACTGGAAGAAATTTCAGAGGCCATATTTTCAGCCTTCTGTCTGATGCTTGAACCCTATCTATACCATCATGAGTCTTTGCTTGCACACTCCCAGTGACAGAGAGCTCACTACCTTAATCTGCACTCAGTACCACTATTAGGAAGGTCTTTGAACTCAAATTATTCTCCTTGTTGAAGCCTCCACCTAGTGGCCATGGCTCTGCCTCCAGGAATCAATGGGATTTGTCAACTCTTTTTGTTGTGAACAGCACTCCCAGCCGCACGGCACCCCTTCTCGTAGGACGTGACTTCTGGTCCCTGCCCCACCCTGCCTTCCCTCCTCTGCACCCCGTCTCTCTCCACATGTGGGTCTCACACAGGGACATGGCGGGACTCAGCTCTGCCTGCTCTGGGCAGTGTTGGCTCCAAAGGCGCAGTTGCAAATGTTGGGCCACCACTTGCGATTTTGCAAGTCGTGTGCTGCACAGCTCCAGGGGTGGCCTAGAAGTTGCAGATGTGCACAGCTATTCCAGTTTTCCAGAAATATGGCAGCAAGAGATCCTGTGGCAGAAGTATCTCTTTCTAACTTGCACAAAATCGTCTTAGGCAAGTGTCAGTGCAAACCTGTGGTCTGCAGAAAACTTCTGTTTGGCTTCCATTTTATAAAAATGTGAATCTAGGAGCCATTTTAAAATTGGGATATTTCAGATTCAGAAACCCCGATTTCCAGCTTTCCCTTTTAAAAGGCCATGCCAGGTTGGGTGCAGTGGCTCATGCTTATAATCCCAGCACTTTGGGAGGCCGAGGTGAGAGGACTGTCTGAGCCCATAGGTTCAAGACCAGCCCAGGCCACTTGGCAAGACCTCATCTCTACAATAAATAAAAAAAATTAACTGAATGTGGTGGTGCACGTCTGTAGTCCCAGCTCCTTGGAAGGCTGAGGCAGAAGGATCGCCGGAGCCCAGCAGGTCGAGGCTGCAGTGGTGGTGGTTCCCTCTTGGATGGGGCGGGATTCTTTCCAGTTGCCCCCCCCTCCAACCCTCGCCTCCTGGACACCAAGGCCAAGCACTGGGTCCCACGAAGTACCATCTTGAGCTGCTGTTTTTCTGAGTGGACGAAGTGTCTTGGTCTTGGCAATCCTCCACGCACCTGGCTTCTCTCCCGTGTGGCCATCTGTTGCTGCCAAATGCCCTGGAGTTTGCAACTCTCTGGCCGGACTCGCTCATGAGGGGTGGGAGGGCCGGTACCACCTCCTGTCACCTGGTGTATTCTCTTTCCTGATTGCAGCAGCTGCGGGAAATCCAGGCGGGGGTCCCAACCCAGGGGGCTCTGCCACGTCCAAGTCCTGCTGCATCCAGTAGCCTGCCAGGGACCCGCTGGCCAGGACGGCGCCACCCCTGCATGGGGAGAGACGACCCAAGCCGGCGGAAAGCCACAGCCCTCATTGAGAAGCATGGCCACAGGCTTGGAGCCAGCAGAGGACTCCGCTTACGTCCCGTCCTGTGGCCCCAAACACTCGCTGAGCCCTGAGCGCCATTGCTCCGACACCAGCTAAACACCTAGCACTCATCACCTGCCTCCGTTACTTGTGTTTAGACTTCCATTTCATGTTTTATAGATTTTCAGCCACTCTGAAAGCTAGAGACATGGCCCAAGTCCCCACACCCATCATCTGACTCACCCATCACGTGACGACCTCGCACGGGAGCCTCGTCTGTCCTTTCTCATCCTTTTCTTGGCTGAAGTGATTAAAGGCAAAGCCCAACTTCAATCACTTCGTTCCTGTGTTGTGCAACTTTAGAGGAGTAGGGGTGTTTCTAATAGGATGACATCAGGGCCACGCACCTCAGACACACACCTGGCACCCTGTCATGGCATCCGCTGGATGAGCTACACAGATCCCTCCGTGAGGGACCCGGGGCGCCCCCCGCTGTACGTGCTATTGGCAGAAGCCCTGTCAGCCCTATGGCAGAGGAAGGGGCACACTCTGCCTTTCCTGGGATGGCCCACACCCAGTGACCAACTCCTGCCAGGTGGACGGGCCTGGCCATCTTGGCTGAGCATGGGACAACTCTGTAGCCATTCTTTCTAAAAAAAAAAATTTTTTTTCTTTTTGAGTTAGAGTCTCACTCTGTCGCCCAGGCTGGAGAGCAGTGGCTCACTCATGGCCACTGCAGCCTCAACATGCTGGGGTCAGGAGATCCTTTCGCCTCAGCCTTCCAAGTAGCTAGAATTACAGTTGTGCACCAACACACCCAGCTAATTTTTTGATTTATTGTAGAGACGAGGTCTTGCCAACTTGCCCAGGCTGGTCTCGAACCTGTGGGTTTAGGAAATCCTCTCACCTCAGCCTCCAAAGTGCTGGAATTATATGAGTCACCGTGCCCGGCCGATCAAAAAAAAATCTTTAAAGACAGGGTCTTGCTCTCTCGCCCAGAATGGAATGCAGTGGTAAAATCATAGCTCACTGCCACCTCAAACTCCCGGGCTCAAGGGATTTTCCTGCCTCAGCCTCCTGAGTGACTGAGAATACAGGTGCACCGCCATGCCCAGCTCATTTTTTAGTTTTTTTGTGAAGAGGGGAGTCTCACTTTGGTGCCCAGGGTTGGCAGGGCCATTCCAGCTCCAGGGCTCCCTGTGAGGTGTGCCCACTCCTGCTTTCTCCTATAGCTCCCCAGGCTTCGGTCCCAGGGCTGTCCTTCATAGCACCCAGCACATCAAGTTCACTGCAGTCCCCTTGACCTGGCATGCTGGCTCCCTACTCAACTTTCCTTCACTGTCACAAAAATGTCTTTAATGGCCGGTCTGTTTGAATCTGATCCAAACAAGTCTCATACATTAAATTTAGTTGTGTTTCTTTTTGTTGGTTTTAGGAAAAAGAGATACTTTTTTCTTTTTTTCAGTTGCAAGCTTCTGCTGCTCATGCTGGAGTGTAGTGGCACACTCATGGCTACCGCAGCCTTGAAATGCTGGGATCAGGCGAACCTTCTGCCTCAGCCTTTCAAGTAGCTGGAACCACAGGTGCGCGCCACCATGCCCGGCTAAGTTTTTGATTTATTATAGAGATGAGGTTGTTGTCCAGGCTGGTCTCAAATCCGTGGGCTCAGGCAATCCTCTAACCTTGGCCTCCCAGTGTTGGGATTACAGGCGTGAGCCACTGCACCAGGCAAGATACACTTTTTTATTCTTGGGTTTTCCATTAATTTCAATTAAGTACAAAGTAAGGCAAATGATTTACAATTTCAGACGTTCTATTTTAATGAGCAGACATCCTGTTGGTTTAAACAAGCAGAACTTATTCCTCTGAACTCAGGTGAGTCTGCAAAGCCTGGCTGGATACCACTGGCCTGACTCAAATCCACATCACAGCAACCAATGTTCAAAACAGCACAAGGAAACCAGAAGTTGGAAAGGACAACAATGTGCTTAAAAGGTTGCAAGTGAATTTCTATTACACTTACCAAATCTTAATTTTTTCCATTCTCTATTGTTCCCCTCAGCTTTGCTGTGTAACTGACAAGTACAAATTGTGTAAATTTAAGACGTACAGTGTGACATTCTGATACACATATACATTGTGGGACGATCGCCACAATCATGTCAATTAACAGGTCCACCACTTCACATAGTTACAGTTGTTACTTTTCTTTCTCTCTCCTTTTTTTTTTTTTTTTTACAGGGTCTTGCTCTGTCGCCCAGGCTGGGGTGCAGTGGCACAATCATAGCTCACTGCAGCCTCAAACTCCCGGGCTCAAGGGCTCCTCCTGTCTCAGCCTCTCTGGTAGCAGAGACTACAGGCACATGTCACCATGGCCAGCTAGTTTTTTTAAACTTTTTGTAGAGACAGGATCTCACTGTGCTGTCCAGGCTGGTCTTCAATTCCTGGCCTCAAGCCATCCTCCCGTCTCAGTCTCCCAAAATATTAGGACGACAGACTAAGCTGCCACACCCAGTCACTTAAGTCTCTTTTCACCCACAACAGTGCTCCTTCCCCTTTTTTCCGCTGTCAGTGACATGCTGCTGAAATAGGGCTTGTCGTCATCGTCCCACGTGCTAGACTTATTATCTGTGTCATTGTGGCAGTGTGTAACACACTCCTCTGTCTCCTGCTTTCCTATAAACGGACATTAGCTCTGAACTCTCCCTACAAGCCAATCGCTCTGCAGAAGCTAACGTGGACGCGGCTGCTCTGAGGGGGCCTCATGGTTTCCCCAGACCGTGACCCTCCAACCTGCTCCAACCTCCCTTTCTAGATAAATGAGGAAGCTGGAGGCCAGCGAGGGGGTGGTGCTGCACCAGTGCACAGCCCAGTCCCTGGCTTCCCTCCAGAAAGAGACGCCAAGGTCGCAGAGAACACAGAGTTCAGTGCGCACATGTTCCTGTGGCTTCCACAGCAGTCTGATCTGCCTCCAGCAGCACAAGCCTGGAGCACGCCTGTAGGCCGTGAGGCCATCAGGACGGACACCGGTGCAACCTCTAACTCCCGAGCGAGATGCCCTGACACTGCTGCAATTGACACCGTGTGAGCGCCGGCCTTCTAGACAGAGGCATGTCCTCAGCGTGCCACATGTGGTGGTTGCATGGCAGGGTGGCAAGAAGCATGTCGCCTGTGGACACAGGCGCTGATGCGGCCGCCCCGGCTCTGTGCTGTGCCTCTGGCTCCACTTCCAGGCTGTCCGATCTGTCCAGTGAGGATCAGACCCATGCCTCTCAGAGGGCTATGTTAGTGCCACGTGAAGGTCGCAGCTAACACCAACTGAGTGCGCACGATGGCCTGGGTGCTGGGCATGATCTGATTTCACCCTGCGCTATAGAGGAGACACCGTCATCAGCCCCATCTGTCACATGATGAGGATTACACTCAGGTTAGGAAACCTGCCTAAGGACCCCCCCCCCCCGCCGCTGGCGAGTAGTGGAGCCAGGACTCCAGGCCAAGCGCCCTGACACAGAACCTGGTCCACAGCCATTTCCCATGCCACACCCCTTCCGTGAGCTGGCAGCTTTGGATATAAAGGTCCTTTGAGTTCATGTGAGCGAATCAATCATATTTCATAGTTGGGGAACCAGGGTGCAAAGAGGCGGTTTGTTCAAGTACACACGACATACAAGTGGCAGAGTTGGGTCCCAAAGCAGGTCTTGAGGCTCTGATCTGCCCCTCCGTCCTCTGCACCATGGGCAGGGTCACTCAGGGATTCCAGTCGCTGGGGCTGGGTGCCCACAGTGCAGGGAGAAGCAGGACCTAGGTGGAGCTGACAATCCAGGAAGGGGCAGACGTCGAGTATTCCACCACACAGACCTCAGGGCCCTGGACCACACTGGAGAGCTGGGTCCCAACTGGAAACATCCTGACTCATTTAAATGGGAAAACCACAATGCATTCCCTCTCAACCAAAGAAATCCAAACCATCTCACAGACTGAGAAGATACATCCCCTGAACGAGGAGAACGCACGCTTGTCAGAAACAGCTTGGAAACAGTCACACAAGATGTGAGAGGCACCTGGAGCAGATGGCATCTGTCCTTGTGGGCACGCAATTCTCTCCATCAGTGTTTCCACGTTTGGGGCTCGTGGACATCTTGCGCTCAAACTGCACTGACATAAAGCTGAAATATGCACACAAAAGACCACGTGATGGGCTCACCCAGAGAGGGTAGCCCTGCAGATCTTCCTTCAGGAGGCCTGTTTTCTAATCATGAGCTGATGAGCATTTTGCCTGATGCCAGAAGAAGGAAGTGCGCTTTGTCCACCACGGCAAAAAGTCACTCATGGAACAGCTGTCATGTGAGAGGAGCTGTCATGTAATATTTTATTTTATTTTTACCATTTTCTGAGTTGGGGTCTCACCATGTCATTCAGGCTGGGGTGCAGTGGCAGGGTGGCAACTCGCCACAGCCTTGACCTCTTAGGCTTAGGTGACCCTTCTGCCTTAGTCTCCTGAGTAGTTGGGACTACAAGTGTGTGGCACTGTGCTTTTTATTTTTTGTAGAGTTGAGGTCTTGCTATGTTGCCCAGGCTGGTCTCAAACTCCTGGGCTCAAGCAATCCTCTCGGCCTTGGCCTCCCAAAAAGTGCTGAGATCACAGGCATGAGCCACCATGCCCAGCCCTATATTTCATTTTTATAAATACAGGGGTCTCGCTATGTTGTCCAGGCTGGCCTCAGACTCCTGGCCTCAAGAGATCCTCCAGCCTCAGCCTCTGTGTCCAGTGTGGATGGTTATTATGTGCCGTGAAAAGTGAACTAAGAGAGTTTTGGTGAATTGGGGTTGGGGGGGAGAGGGGCGCAAACCCTGACCTGGTCTTATCTGAGAAAAAGATGCTGAAACCCTACCCAGTAGCCAGAGTGTCCTTCAGTGATGAGCTCCCAGGACCCAT